GCGCACTATCCAGTGCGCCACCGGGCCGGCCCCTTTCCCAAGGTTTTGATGTTTGTTTTCTTTTCTTTTTTTCCTCTTCCTAATAAGTTCTAAAACAGATGTGCTCATAGACTTGGGGTGCAGCCTGCACAAAGAACTTACTCTTTCATGGATACAGTTAGAATTTCCACTGTGGGCTCTGCACTAGGATCTACTGCTTTCTACTGGAGAAGCAGAATTTCAACAGGGATAGTCTTTTGAAAAGAGAGGCCATCAGAAATGGTGTTACTAAGAATGTGGAAAATTGTGGGATGATATAAACTGCTACTGTAAAGCCTTTTCTTCAGTAGCATGCTGTTTATTCTCATTCATTCATTCAATGTTTACTGACTCCTTGCTGTGTGCCAGGCTCTTTGTTTAGGTACTGCCCTCAAGGAGCTTACATTCTCACGGGAAAGTCAGATGTGAAGATTGACAGTTACAATAAAGATATGATATGAATAATATAAAGCACAGGGGATGGGGTCCTAACTTAGAGGCTCAGGGAGCTTTTCTTAGAGGTGTGGTGCTCAAGCTGTCTTGGAAGACACAAAATCTCAATCCATAGAAAAGCAGTCCTCCAGTTTTTTGTCTTAATATGAAATAAAATAATGGCTGTGTATACTCTCTATATGAGTAGCACCATTTCATGTCAGATGCTGAAAGCAGATTACTTAGCCCTCCTCCCTTTACCTCTGCTACATAGATCTGTGCTGTGCTGAGATCAGTATATCTGCTTTTTTCTATCCGGTTTTCTGTTTTCTTTAAAAGCCTCATCCTGTGGCTGGTCTGGGAGACAGTTTCTTGTTTCTTTGTGTATCTCATTATTTACATCATTATCTTCACTTTCTTGCCTGGCAGTGTTTGTGGCTGGACTTGGAAACATAAGGAAGTCTCAGCCATGCTTCTAGTGCATTTGGCTCTAGGGAAGTATTGTTTGTTGCTTTAGACCATTGCTAAAAAAGCAAAGGAGAAAGAATGTGGAAAATTATAGACTATATTTGTCCTTAATTCTACACATCATTCCCGGGGCAGTAGGATACCAAGTGGGTTGCATGCATGAAGATTCTTTGGGATAGAGGAAAAAAATTTTTTAATTTACGTTTATTATCTTATCGTTGAAATTTTTTTTGTTTTTAATTGTACATATATTAGTCTAGTAGCACATATTTATATGTATATATTACATATATGAGTATTTCCTTGAAATTTTTTACTAATAAGAATGTACAGTAAATGAAGTTTGGCAACCACTACTCTGTGGGAAATGATCAGCACAAATGACCTCTGTGCAGTTTTTAGAAAATGTGAATGATGAAACACTGAGCTCTCAGCACTACCTCTCACTCCTTTGAAATAATGGTGGGGGTCTCTGCCCAGCAAGGAGTCAGTGAAGAAGGGTCTCTCTAGCTCCAGTGTAGCAGACTGATGAGATTGAATTCAGAACTAGGTAGTGGGCTTTGTGAAGCGTGGACTATTTAAGAGAAGTCTGGCACCAAGGAGGGAATATGAAGGAGTGGGGTGGTAGGCTAGAGGCAGGGGAATGACTATATTAAAAATGGTTTCAGGTGGAAATTTTCTTTTTCTTGTCCCATTTTATTTGTAGTAGGAAAAGGTTTCTTTCAAAGCATTTAGGCAGCATTGGGAATTTCACACCCATCATTAGAACGATGTGTGTGTGTGTGTGTGTGTGTGTGTGTGTGTGTGGTGACTACGTTATCATTAGTGGTATAATTTTATTTTGTGAAGAGAGAAGTGTTTCCTGTTTTATCACAGCTTTCCCTGAGGAGGGCTGGTGTATTAATTTGCTGTATTGCCTCCTGGCTGTTCCCAGGCTGTTTTTCCTCTTCATCATGGAATTTTTAATGGCCCTGGTGCCTCTTGGGAAGCATGTGAGGAAGAGTTCCTCAGGGAGTACTTCCCTTTTTTTCACATGCCTATAATTACTCTCCTTTAAGAGCACAAAGAGTTTGATAATCATGCCTGAACTGTGAAGGTTCCCTCCTGTCAGGTTACTGAGCTGAGGTTGCTTCTTGCCCGGACGCTGCCAATTCCACTCTCTCAAGCACTCGACTACTGCATAGGAGCAAAGGCTCCTCAACTCTTTCCTCACTGCTAGAGCCATGATGCTCAGAATAGGTTTGGGGACCACTGGGGGATGATGAGTGGCCTCAAGGTACACTCTTGTTTAGTACTTTATTGCTATAACAGATAAATAATAGGACCATAATTTTAAGATAACACTTTATTGATATATATTTTTTTTGTACAGCTTAGATAGCAGGCAAAATGGATGGGAAGGAGAGTTTTGTGGTCTTTGTACCATCTAATAGATTTATGGATTAAGAGGATTTCAGAAATACCACCCTAGAAATACTTAAGTTTGGGGGTTTTCAACCCTAGATGTACTTTGGAATCACCTGACAAGCTTTAAAAAATATATCCATGCTAGGCTCCACCTCCAGAGATTCTTATTTAATTGGTCTGGGATGAGACCCAAGCATTGGCATTATTTTAAAGTTCCCCAGGTGACAAATATACAGCCATAGGTAAGAACGATTGCCCTAAATGTGTATGGCTTTTTGACTGGTGCTTTGTAATTTGCTTAACAGGGGCTCCCATTTCATGACTGGTATCAGCTCTTGCCTTGGTATTGTGTACATGATTCCTTCTGAGAGGTAGAACTCTGGACTTTTCTTAGCTTTGAAGAACCTGCTGCAGGTGAAGAATGTTAGTATCTAGCACAGTGCCTAGCACATAGATTCATAAATGGGGAGGGCAGAGATTTGCTGGATCGATGTACGGATAGGTGGATAGTTGGCTGGGTGTGTGGATGATATTCATAAACCAGCTATTTTGTCCTTTTTTTCTTTTTCGTGACCGGTAATGGGATCGCAACCCACGGTGTCGCGCCCATACCGCGACTGGCAACAGGATCGCAACCCTCGGTGTCATGTCCGCTCCGCGCTCAACCAGTGAGTGGACCGGTCTCTATATGGGATCCGAACCCTCGGCGGGAGCGCCGCTACACTCTACCAAGTGCACCACCGGGCCTGCCCAACCAGCTATTTTGATTTGGCTGTTTTGGTTGCTAGCATTGGGATTTGCTATTAAAGTAGTATTACTCAGTATTGGTGTTAAGAACTGCTTCTGCTCAAACAGCAGATGGTGTAATTGGTGTTCTGGTAGAGGCAGTGGTATTGTTAAGAACACAGTCACAAATTTGTGATAGGAAGATTAGTGCTGTAGGCAGCTTTTCCCAAAATTAGAGATTTATTGCTTGTGAAGGATAGCTTCACTTACCATTATTACCTATAGAAATGATAACTAGAACTTATTATTACATAAAGATCAATTGCATCTATGTGATGCACAAATCTCCAGTTGTAGTTTTTTGAGTGTTTTATGGCAGTTTTGAGTTTTCTCCAGCTTTAATGTCCTTTTCTCTATTTTGGCTGGTGATTTGTTAATGCATTATCATTTTCATTTATTCTGTCTTACCTTAAGTTCCGAAATAGCAAAGTACATGTTTGATACCTTCTTTTCATATAGGCCAGCTTCCTTTGAAATAAAGGAAGCTTTTACCTCAAGAAATTATATTTTCAGTTCCAGTGAGGACAGCAGATATCAGCCTGGTATGCAGATATTGTACATGTTCCTTAATGAACGTATGAAGA